TAGGGGTGCCCAATAAAAAAAAAAAAAAAAAGCACACGCCATCACAGTCACACTAAAAGGTATGTCCCTCAATATTGTCAATGCCTATGTGCCTCCCTCCACCCCTACTGTACCTGTCCCACCACACCATATCACCTCCACCCCTACTGTACTTCACCACGCCTAGTACATTGGCAACCCTGGGCTTGGCAGCACTGTTTGTAAACTTTGTGGTCAACCGACTCTCACACCCTCTCTCACTACATCCTCACTTGCCCTATGACCTCCTCCAACAGGTCCCCAGCCGTTACCAACACCTCTTCACTCCCTGACCAGATATTCCTCCTCCTAGTGACAGGCCTTGCACTTGACATTATTCGGGACCTGCCACACTTTACCATAAACAGATAAATTGTGCCGTGATTTTTTCCACACACTCATCATTCTGTCACTTTCTGTAACTCTCTGACAAAACCCATGACCCTTCAGGCTTTCACGCCCTTAATGCAAGGATCATAAAAGCAAGCATGAATTCTGCATGCTTCCCAGATCGGCGCTGTAAACGCTTCTGCGCTTCACCTTGCACAGGAATTGAAATTGAACTAAAACAGTTTATTTAGCCATAAAAACACAGATACAGAGTGGATAATAACACCAATATTAACATGGCTGAGCCAGTTGAGAACCTGCGCTCTCTTTTAGGCACCTGATATATACTATCCATTTATCTCAAGGAAGTATTATGTAAAATTTAGTAACATCTGGAATAGTACAATAGCATGGTGGTAATAAGAACATCTCATAATGTTACCACGGTTATCACTTCAATATTTATTTATTTTATTTATTTATTTATTAATTTTTAGTTTATTTTTTTATTTATATTTTAAGTATATACATAAATTACAGTGGAATTTAAAGACATAATTATAAATGGGGAGCAGTACAACATGGGTTGTACAGTATTAAGGTTGAACAAGAGGACAGAGCTGTCAGGATTATGTCTAGCTGGCAATTATGTTTATTGCAATGGTAATTTCTAATCAATTTACATGATAATTTCTGATAAAACGGTTTTGATGGTACAATAAAAGCAGGTACTGTAAATGTACTAGGGATTACAAGAAATATTAATACTTAAACAATAGATATTTTTTTAAGAGATGATTTAAAGGAAGGGAGCTCTGTCTTTGCTCAGATGGGTGGGGGTAGGTTGTTCCACACCTTCACACCATGATATTTTATGGAGGTCTGGGACTGAGAGGAGCGCATGGGGGGTGGTCTTAGTAGCTCTGGGTGCCTTAAGTTGTATCTCTGATTATTCCGGAACTGGAAATAATTAGTGTCAAGCAAGTGATTGATAGCAGTAGGTGTAAATAATCTTTGAATTTTAACATTTTAAATTTAGCAAATGTTTCGTTTGTGTGATCCGTTTTTTTTTAATTGGTCATTGTCCGTACAAATCTCTTTTGTGCAGTAACCAGAGATTGTGTTTTTGAAGAGCCAGAGGCCTCCCATAGAGTGTGACAGTGTATCAGGTGTTGGTAAACAAGATCATGATAGATTTCTTTCTTTGCTGTGAGAGTGATACATGATACCGCACTGTTTATTGACTTTACTGTGAATGGTTTGTATGTGGTTTCTCCAGTCAAGTTTCTCATCAACAATAACTACGAGGAATTTAGTATTTTGTTCTCGTTTGAGGACTGTATTACCAAGGTACAGGGGGTCTAAGTCTGGGGGTAAGTTTTTCCTTCTGTGAAAGATCGAGTAGGATGTAAGGGGGTGCCCAATAAATTAGACCCCTCGGGGGCAATCTAAAAAAAAATAATCTTAACGTCACACTGTATTTACCTTCTTACAGCTTAGCTATGTTACTTATAGAGTCCACATTTATAGTGTCAATGTACCGAGATACGTAAAGCACACAGAGTAACATTTCATACGTGTATCAAGCTTCGTACGGAGCTAGAAGATAGAATAGGTCAGAGGTGCAAGAGGGTGTGACCAACCCTTACAGTGACTGAAATACATAACAAGAAATATAAATATGCGTCTTTGAAGAGATAATAGATTTTTTTTTTTTGTCACTTGACAATAAACTCAGCCATCAGAGTACACTTACTGTTCAATCAGTTACACTGAAAGTTAACATCAGAAGACTCAGAAATTATCTGTCCCTTCGACCACGCTTGTGCATGTGTGCGTATGTCAGAACTTTCCTGGACAAAGTAAATTAACAAAAAATGGACTTCATTCCTTCAAGGAGCAGACCTTAATATAGCTATGTTAAGGTTATTTCCTTCTGAAACTGCTTAGTTACATATACTGAGTGATAACAATTACAATATTACGCTTATAAGACCGAAATTAACACAAAGCTTAATTATTTAAGAGTAACACCGGAATGAGTAAAAAAAAAGAAACTTAAATTATTAAAGTAATTTTAAAAGAAAATGCACAATAAAAATGATTACGAACAGTGCTGGTATGTGACTGTACGTTAGGGGGCAGTGAAATTTTGCTCAAAGCTGCACTCTTCAGGCATTGTTCCTTATACATATCTAAGACTCCATGCCAAATTTGAAGCTGATATGTCGATGTTTAGTCTGCCGCATTTTCTACTGAAATTTTTTAATTTACCTACAGTACTAGCCAAACAGCCGCTGTGGCGGTGCAATGTTCTGTTCAGTGTTTATCAACTTTTTTTTCATATCTCTTATTTCATTTAAGTTGTCTTGTTGCAGATGAGTATGGTGCTATGTCTATATTGATTATCAGCCTTTTCTCATTTCATTTCTCAATGGGAAAAAGCAATTGGAGATAGGCAGAATGTTCCTTCTTAGCCAAAAAACTATTGAGGAAAGGTTGAGAAAATTGTACAGTAGAGGAATTGAACTAAATAAGAACAAGAATGTAGGCAAAAAAGCTGCATTTCAGGTAGAAATGAAAGAGTTGTTTGATATCTGTAGCTGTTATTGTCCCGTTGCCTCCTGTCAGGATGTGAGGTGCATAGTTAAGGAGTGTGACGGATATCACCTGGCATGTAATTGTGTTATAAAAGTTCCCAAACGTGAGGTGCAGTTTCTCCTTGACCAGCGAGGTGATAGGAAGATGAAGATTGCAGGGGTTGACATGAAAGTGACGACGATGTGGGACAGAGTGACGGCAAGAGAGAAGCATGATGCGGACAGAGTTAGGAGACAGCTTGAGCAAAAACATAGATATCTGGTAGCTGGAGATATTCCTTATGTTGAGGATAATTCAGATGATTCAAGAGATATTCCTCTCGTCAATACTGATGCTGATTTTGTCCCTGATCCAAGGGCTCTGACAGACACCAGTTCACAGAACCGGACAAGACTCCCTACACTGGTTGCCGCTTGTGACCGATACTTGATTAGTGATTATGCTGGAGCTGCCATTGCTACTGCCACCTTAACTGACTATGGCATTATCACAAAGGATGACAAGAGTCAGGTTATTGGACCACATAAGCTGCGGGATGCGAGACAAAAATACCGATTTAAGAGGCAAGAAATTGAGATGGCTAGTTTAGATAATTTGACGTCACTCTATTTTGATGGTAAGAAGACCGCCACTCGTGTGATGATAAAGAATGAGAAGACCGAGAAATGGAGTTCGAGGATGATGGTGAAAGATCATTATGTCATCATGGTTGAGCCTGGCAATGAATATCTCACACATGTGACTCCCAAGACTGGACACGGAAAGCAGATTGCCAAAACTATTCACGAGTTTCTGGTGGAGAAAAATCTAACCCAGCAGCCCATTGTGTGTGTTGGTTGTGATGGAACCAATGTAAATGTAGGATCAGAAAATGGAGTCATTCATCATCTTGAAATGTTACTTGGTCACCCGCTCCATTATTTCATATGTCAGCTTCACGGAAATGAGCTGCCTTTCCGCGCAGTTTTTTATCACTATGATGGTAAACCAAGTGGTCCTGAGCATTGGCGTGGTCCCATTGGAAAGCAGATCAAGGAGTCTTTGTCTGAGCTTCCAGTTGTCGCCTTCCAGCCAGTCAGTTTCCCTGATTTCCCTGTGTTTAATGATGAAGTGGAGAAAGATCTGTCCTGGGATCAGAAATACCTGTATAGGATTTGTAAAGGAGTTATCACAGGTGTTGTTGAAGATGACTTGGCTGCTATTGAGCCAGGTCCTCCCTGTGTGTCAAGGTGGAACACCTTATGGAGTAGAATCCTCAGGCTGTATGTAGCAACATCAAGACCCAGCCATGAGTTGAAAAGAATTGTCATTACAATAATAAAGTTCAGTGCTCCAATGTGGTTTTACATCAAGATACACCCTTACGTAACACACGGCTCAAGGAACGTATTCCAGTCCCTGCTATATATGAAACACCTGAATAGTGAGGAGGAGACGATAGTGAAGAAGGCTGTCCAGAGAAATGCATACTTCGCCCACACAGATCAACTTCTTCTTGGTATGTGTGCAGATGAGGACATGACTGTTAGAGAAAAAGCTGTCTCAATGATAAGAAAAATTAGAGAGGAGAATCAGCAAAAGGAAGAATGCACTGGCAGATCTGAAGAGGAGGAGGAAGATTCTGATGCTGCTGTTGACGAGAATTTGTTAAACTATACTGATGAGGAGGGTAAAGATGGAGATGGGAATGAGGATGTGCCTCCTGTAGTCAACATGAGAAAGGTGGTGACTCCGAAACTAAAGTGGCAAGCAAAAAACTATCATTCCATGATTAACTGGAGGAATGAACTCAAGACTGAGCCTCCTTACATTGCTTCTCTGTCAAATCTACAGGTTAATGACATTCTTGAGACACCATTAGTGGTGCCCAAGTGGCCAAACAGCACTCAGGCGGTCGAGAGAGGCATAAAAGTGATGACTGAAGCTTGCACTGAAGTGACGGGATAAGAATCAAGAGATGGATAAGTACGTGGTCACATTAATGCGCCATCACAGGGGCTCCATGCTTCGTACCTCCTTCAAGTCTTCTTGTAATCAGTCCACTAGTAAGACTAGCCCAGTTACCATCTCTACTCAGTGTGTCTGGTAGTTCAACCAACTTGATCATCAGCTCAGCACTTCCAATGGCTTAATATTGCTATGCCACATTATATATCATCCCGACTGCCGTGAAAACCGAACTGACATTTCTGGCCTCCAGTACTGCTCTAAATATTCTATTACCTACGTGTTGATAGAATATCTGGTAAGTGTCAAGGTGTGTTTTTTTTATTTATAAATGTGATTCTTATTCCATATGCATTTTGTGCATTGATTTTCTTTTCCAAGCCAGCTATCATCACCAGCATGAAGCTTATATTCTGTAATGCTGTCCAAACTCCAATATCATATTATTTGGCTTTAACAACCAATTAGTACTGTATGCAGGGGGTCCTCAATACACTGTTATGCTGAGGCATAATTTCGTATTATACAGTAATCTTGTAACCTAGCTGTTTTAATTGTTTTCTGTCTCATGCAGCAGCTTTTTTGACAAATTTAGTCAAATTTTCGTTTATATCGTGATGTATTAATTCATTATGTAAGAATATTCTAGAATGTATTGCATCATTTTTTTTTAATTTGCCTCTTACTGTAAGCCGAGATCATTCTAGAATTCTCCAGGAAGGTCTCGAGCCGACCTCCCGCGTCTGGACTTTGTTAGAATGTTCTAGGCGTCTGACGAACCGTATATATGCTGGGGCGGGTTGCCTAGCCACTGCACCTTTCCTCTCCTTCCCTTTAGCCTTCCCCTTAACCTCCTTCCCCTGTCACTAGCCTTTATGTTATGTATGTCCTAGGGACAGTTAGTCGGTCGCCCCTGCTCATAGTGTAAAGACTAAGCCTAGCAGAACAACTGAAGACAATTATTGTGCAATTATTGTTATTAATATAACGTGAGAAGACTAAGGAATTGTACACTGGTAGTGTGATGACTATATATTTGGAGTGCGGAGTTAAGCTGTGAAGACATTACCCTGTTCGCAGTGTAACCGCTCATAGGAGCGATTTTGGTTTGTGCAGGACAATAAGACCCTTGTCGTTGACGCGATGAGTATAATTCGGTCAAAACCTGTTAAAACACAATTCACATATAATAACTGCTGGTATATCAGGACACACAGTTTGAATAGTACGATCAATATACAGTACATAACCTATTAACCCCTTAAATATTACTCACATGTTACAACTGTTGATACATCAGGACACAGTTTGTATAATATGATCAATATACAGTACATAAATACACTTATTAAAGTTATTTAGAGTTCTTAGAGGGTTTAATAGTTCACACTCACGTTTTGGGGTCTAGGGTTTGACCAATGAGAACAAATATAATATCCTCCTGGTAGATGTTGGCTGAACGAAAATTCAAGATGCTATCTCTACGGTAGAAGGCGAGACTCTGGTCCTCAGGCAGTCACACAGCTGCTACCAGCTCCATCTCGCTTAGTAAGCTACTAGCGGAATCGCCGCCCTCCGGTGCGTCGGATCGGGTTGGTTGGTTTTTTTTTGAGATCCCCACATGACACTTGCTATCCATGCCAAGTTTGGTCCGGGCGGCTCATTCGCTAGGCCACGGTAGGACGCCATCCTCCGGGAGGCTCCACATTGTCTCACTGTTCAGTCCCCAAAACTTCTTCTTCCATCAATAGTTCATTAACGGTGTATGTATGTTCCACTACAACAGTACAGCAAAGTATATTTTTTTAGCATTAAACTGTTATTATTTTATTGTCTAATCATCACTACATATAACACCACCCATCATCACTACATATAACAACATCCATCATCACTACATATGACATTATCCATCATCACTACATATAACACCATCCATCATCATCACTACATTTAACACCATCCATCATCACTACATACAACAACATCCATCATCACTAGATATGACATTATCCATCATCACTACATATGACATTATCCATCATCACTATATACAACACCACCCATCATCACTACATATAACATCATCCATCATCACTACATATGACACCACCCATCATCACTACATATAACATCATCCATCATCACTACATATAACACCACCCATCATCACTACAGATCGGTAAAGTAGGTTCCGAGATTCTCGTGCAGACACACACACACACATACTTCTTTGTTTTATATATATAGATTATGAGTTGTAAACAGTTTCTTCACTCAACATGTGGCCGACACGTGGCGATAACAAGTAGTGCTGTGAAGAATTACTGTTTATTAAAGAAGACTACAGTGCACAAGTGTGTTTCTGTGACCTGGTGGAAATCTACCCGCCTGTTGTTTGTCTGTACACTGATACCGATCGTCGGGGAATTACCGGAGACTGGCGGGACAGCCAGTGGTAATTCGACAACTATTGTGAGATGATATCTACTGCTCTGTACATACGACCCTAGCCGCTGGTAACTAGTGGTGGAAGCTGGGTAAGCGGTGAAAGGAGGAGGGTTGTAACAATACATTGGGGATGTGTTCCTGTTACGTCTTGCCATCACATTTTGATGGGAAAGCCATTGCTGACACACTGGCACTGATCCTGGCGTCTCTTCCTCCCCCCTGACCCCCTGTACCGCAATTTTTCCATGCTACAGGCCCATATTGTTTCATATGGTTACGTATTTACATGCCGTTAATATACTTAGATGTGTGCCGTATAGCAGTCAACCTTGTAAGAGCGTTTTTTTTTATGAAAGTTGTAAAAGATGAGTGTCTTTTGAAATAAGTTTATCTTATGTATTTGTGAATTGTATTGGTTCAGTGTAATTTCTAATATTGTTGTTTACATTGGAGACTCTTTTCGAAGATTGAATTCACGGTGTACAGTCAGCCAAAGATGCACTGACCCCACCCTGGGTCTCGTGCTCGCAATTTTACCTGGCAACACTTGGTAAAGTAAGGCTGTATGTCAAGGTGATTGTGATTGGTGGATCTGTCAGGATAATTGTTAAACAAACCAAAGGTAGAATTTTTATAATAATAAACTATTCATTATTATTTAAGGTCATGGGAAGTTTCCAAATTTTCGTATATTTGCTTAAATTATGAAGAAAATTATATTAATGAATTAGCAACTCAACTACAACCACAGCTGCCACAAGATTCTCACATCAAATTTTCATTATATAAACAGATATACGAACATTTGGAAACTTCTCATGGCCTTAAACAACAATGAATACTTTATTATTATATAAATTAAATTTAGGGTCTAATGGACTCCATGTGGTCTTCTTTGTTTGTGTTTCCCACCTGTCCTACAAAAAGATTAATCTAAGAATCACATCCGAAGGACGTACCTGGTACAACCTTTAAATTTAATGTCAGTAGGAAAAGGTCTGATATGGCAATATTCTTACTTTAAGACACTCTAATATCCCACCAAACATAGTCAGATTACTTCCTCTCTTGTGTTGGGGTCAGTATTGAGCATTAGTATTTATCTGTCTTCTTATCTTTGGTGTGTTTACTTGTATGAAAAGAGACTGACGACCAAATGATGGCCCGTGCGCTTCCAGCTGAGTGATGAGAGTGTGCATTCACACACTACTACTACTACTACTACTACTTTATTGTCACTCGGAATCTAGTATGACGATCATCCAGCTATGATAAAATGATGTGACTTATTAAAGATGTCACCTTTGTTGGTGAGCTCTGAGGTGACTAGAGAGACCGATGCGGGACCGGCAGGTCATCAACAGATATTGCACATGTGGATGGCTCCATCTAGTGCGAGAGGGGCTGCGGCAGCGTCTTTCCGGCGTTGGCGCTTTTTCTGCCTCGGAATGCAATCTGGCAAACTCGAAAGTATTGACACCTTCTTGTAGAGTGCTCCTCTAAGAGTTACGGTGTGGAGTAATCGTCTCCCGGGTGAGGGGGTCGATTTGGCACTTTTTCCAGATTAGTCTTAAGGTTATCATTATACCTTTTCAGTTGCCCTCCACCGATACTTTTACTATTCGTAAGGTAACTGTAAAGTAGCTGCTTTGGCAGTGTAATGTCGTCCATGTGAGTATTATGGCCAGTCCAGTGTAGTTGTTCATGGAAAGTAGACTACAGTACATGGGTGAAAGTTTTCAAGTGCCTTGAGGTGTCTCATAAATGTGACCCTTGTCTAGCTACCATACAGCAGGGTGGGGAGGACCAATGCTCGATATACTTGCAACTCTGTAGATAATTTTAGCTCCCTACAGCTGAAAAATAGGGTACAGAGTCTGCCAAAGGCTTGAGGTGCACATCTGATCCGATTTTTAAATCTCTTCATTCGATGTCCACGGTGATGGACAGGTGGGAACCGAGATAATGAAAGTTGGTAACATTAGAGAGGGTAGTACCATTAAGATGGATGGATGGTGGAGGTGTGGCTGAACCAGGGGCAGACTGAAAGAGAATCTGAATCTTACGTACATTCACCTCAAGGCCGAAGTTTGTATACGAATCTGCATACCTCTGTTCCTGCCTGGAGTCGTCTTATGTTGAAAAGACACTTCATTTGGTACCCGATGTCCAACCCCCTGGCTAAATTACCACTGGAATGAATAAGGAAGGCAGGCAAGAAAATGGAAAAGAGAGTTGGTGCTAGTAAACATATTTGTTTTACCCTCATTTGGATGGGGAAAAACTCAGTCTGGGTGCCGTTGTGCAGGACACTGCCGTTCATGCCATCGTGGAGTTGCCTTACAATAGGGATGAATTTTGGTTGGCAGACAATATGGTTGAGGGTCCGCCAGAGGCTTCCCTGTTGACCGAGTCAAAGGCCTTGTTTAGGTCGATGAAGGCCATGTACATGTCACGATGCTGTTGTCTGCACTTTTCCTGTATCTGGCGGGCAACAAAGATTATGTCAGTGGTACCACGTGATGGTCTAAAGCCACATTGAGATTCTGGGAAGAATTTTTCCTCCTCAGGAAGAAGTCTGTTTAGGAAGACTCGGGCGATAATCTTGCCAGCTACGTAGAGCAGCGAGATTCTGTGGTAGTTGCCATAGTCTGACCTGTCTCTCTTGTTCTTATAAATATTGACGACGGAGGTGCCTTTAATAGCTTGGGGAATTTACTCCTTTTCCCATATATTCTCCAGGAAAGAGTGGAGACGGCTGGTAAGCAGAGGTCCTGCAGTTTTATACACCTCGGCTGGGATCCCATCAGGCCCTGAGGCTTTGTTATTTTTATCTGTTTGATGGCAGTAGCTACCTCATCCAGGGATGAAGGATAGCTGAGGGACCTTCTGGATAGTCAGGACATCCACATTGATGTTTCGGATGATCATCAAATGGTAGTGCTCTTTCCAGCAGTAAAGGATGCCTCCTTTGTCTTTAATTAGGGAGTTACCGCCGGATGAGAAGAGAGGGGCTGCGCCATGAGCGAGTGACCATAAAATGTTTTAGTGGAAATGTAAAATCGTGCATCTTGTGTTGCTCTGCATGTTTTTGCATTTCACAAGCTTTATTTTTAAGCCAGTCATTCTTTAATTTGCGAAGTTCACGCTGGGCATCCACTTTCTTCTTGCAGAAGGTATAGTTTTGTTCCGAGACTGAGGGTTGTTCAGCCAGTCAGTTAACGCAGCATGTTTATCATCGACAAGTATATTGATTTCCAGGTTATTTTCATCAAACCATTTCTGGTGTATTCTATCGATCTGGCCGAGGGTCTCTCTGCAGGCTTTCGGCACTGGGATTTTTTTTCGAGTTATTTTTCAGCCCAGGTTAGAGGTTTTTTCTGAAATCATGTGCTACTTCTGGATCCTCCAGATGCTTTGTGTTAAAATCTTTTCTAGAGGCTTGTTGCCTTCGCCGTATTGGGGCGACGTGAAGTGAGAGCGTGGCTCTAACGAGACGATGACCAATATCGCACTAGTCTGAGCCACACATGGGTCAGGTAATGAGGACATCTCGGCGATCTCTTCCTCTTACAATAATGTAGTCAATGAGTTGCCAGTGTTTAGACTGTGGGTATTGCCAGGAACCCTTAAACTTGTCGGCCTGCCTAAACAAGATATTGGTGATAGTGAGGTTGTGTGGAGCACATTTGCCGTTGGGATTACACTTGCCTAGTCCATTTCTCCCTATGATTCCCTGCCAAATGTCAGCATCTTTCCCAACTCTGGCATAGAAGTCACCAATGAGTACAACCTTATTTTCTCTGGGGATAGATATTAGCACTCTTTCAAGGTCGGCATAAAAGGCCTCCTTGATATGTTCTGCATCCAGTGTTGGGACGTATTCACTTATCAAAAAGACTAAGGTAACCACCAGTTGTTTACAGGATGTAGTGATCTTCAATAAAATTTGGAGTCGGGTATTTCATCATAATTCATCTATATGAGGAATTCCAGCTTCTTGCTTCCTGGAAAACATTTATATTTACACAAAATACGCACCTTAAAAAAGGGAAGGTAACTTTTAGTGTTCATAATCAGAGTTTGACCAACTTCATCCTCAAAGGTGTTAAGTCCAGTGATAACATTGTGCCCAATTTCATATGAAGTTGTCGTTTTCACTTCATAGGCAACATAAAATTTTCATATATTTTGTTAACTTAAACTTGCAAGAACTGCTTAATATCGTGTCTACTTTGGGAAAATTTAAAATTTTCACTTATAGGATTTTTTTCCAGAAATTGCATAAGTCTTAGTGATTAATCTTTCTATCAATGATAAATTATGTCCACATTAACTGATAGTCTGCAAGTGTAGCCCGGAGAAGTTAACCTGGTCACAGTAGCTAAATACAATGGCAATAGAAAGGTCGGTCAAGTCACATTTCCTTTATTTCTTCCTTAATGTTTTACCTGTTAAGTCACCCAGCAATGAGTAGAGCACCTACCGACAAACAGAACCGTAAATATGTATTACACAACAAAAGTTCTCTAGCCCTAAAAATTTAGGAATATATCTCGTATCTTCACGGAGGACTAGAGAGTAACCATTACATCCTTCACACAAAACCCTTTGTACTTAAGGTTACTCTAAAACAGTACTGCTTTGTACCTCCAAAACAAAAACGTTATCTATACGACATACATTGAACACTTCTAATAATACAAATTACAAATGTAAAACACTCAGAAGTTCAATAGGATAATAATAAGTAATAATAATAATGCACCAACTAAAAAATATATATTTTCTTCTTGTAATTACAGGAGTAAATAATTTATAACTCTTTCACCTCACTACACAAGTGATTTCATAAGAAATTCCCGGAAGTGCAATCTGGCATTAGGATCAGGCGGGTCACCACTGTGGCCTCCAATTAGTTAAGAACACTGCTTGTATTGTAATCAGTTTTATAAAGACATTTAAAATTGTTATTACAGGGATTCTCGTCTTTGGATCAAATGTAACTTTAACTTTATTTTTGAACAATAAATCTTTTGTCCATTTTACTAATTCGGATGTAGAGAATATTTTAATTACCAACTTCATGTTATCTAATAATAATATAATTTAAAATCATGTAAAACTTGAATTGTCTATCACTATTGTCATTCACCCTATAATACTTCTTTATGTAAAACATCTTCATATACACCTCACATTTTCTGTATTCTTGGCACAGTATTATATACAGTAACTATGTCACTGAACTAATGGTTATCTCAGGGATGGAGGCGACGGAAGAACCAGTGACGACGGCTGGGGAAGAGTCAGAGGTAACGTTCACAGTAGTGGACTACACGCTCTTCAGCCTCTTGTTGGTGGCGTCTTTCAGCATCGGGGTGATCAGCACCATCAGGAACCGTGACAAAAAGTCCACGCAGGAATTCCTGTTAGGAGGCAGGACCATGTCACCGGTGGCTGTGTTGTTCTCTCTCATCGGCGGCCGCATGTCTGCAATATCAATGTTAGGTTAGTATGAATTATCTGTGAAAATAATACTCAAAGGTCCATAAAAATTTAATTCAACAAAAAGTTGTAACTATGCACACTGTTTGGCGATGAAAAATAACATGTATTTTTATGTGTTAATGAAATAACTCCACACACATGACATATGTTTCCAATCATAAAATATGATCTAAGATCTTCTAAAGAAATTTTCCTTGGCTGATTTGTCTTGGTGACAAGAAACAAAAAACAGGGCTAGTAGGAGAGTAAAGACTGCTGCCTGGAAGTTGGGTATTTGGTTACATGACAGTGTCGTGCGCACGACAGTGCCTCTTGAAAATATCGCCGCTACTACTACCGCTACCGTTACAGGTATTCATTGAAAAATAACGCGTTATCACTACTTATGAAGAATCAAAATTCTTTTTAAACACAAATTCAAAGCTAAGTTGCTCTCAGTTACTGAGCAGCGTGAGAGGAAAAATGTGTATAAAGTATAGAATGTTTTTCTTCATTGTCATTCTATGCACTAGAAAGTGATAATTACATGACAGTTATCTTCCATAAGGTTTTGCATTTATTTTAACAAATGACGGGGACCTCCAGAAAATTCCTTGACTTATCCCTAATTTCAGTCCAATTTGTTAATCTGCTTGACTACTGATGCAATTTCTTGTTTTTCTTTTGTTTGTTTTTTTAATCTTGAGGCAATTTTGTCCCCGCTTTTCCCTGATTCATGTGGACTAAGTCAAACTTTGTACTTGAAGCCGAGATTGTTTTTGTTTTTTTAATTTTATCATAGATGACTTGACAGTCTTTTGGCGTAATTAATGTATCTATACACTAAGAGTTCCAATAATAATTTCAAATTTGAAACCTTTTTTATGCCGTTAACATAGTCAAAGATTTACAGTCATTAATAACCAAACAATCCACCATAATTCAGTCAGTCTGTATGATGATAGACTGACGTAATTTAACCATATACTTCCTGTGCATTAGATGGTAATATTCGATGTTACGTTTTAAATGCAAGAAAGTGGTTTTCTTACCGTAGAACTCAGATACCTTCACAATGATTACTCACCCAGGAGATTATGGTGTATCACTACGTAGAATTTCACTCTGCTTCCGGCATTCAATGCGTTGTGTACTTTATAAATGATGATTTAATGAATTCCATTAATTTCCAACATCCATCTAAGTTATTGGTTATACTTTGTCATAACCAATCAGTCATTACCTTTGGTAATAATAATAATAGAGGGATCACAGATACGGGCAGATGATTGCACTTACGCTTATTTGGCACAATTCCATAGCACCGTAAGTTATAAGGGAGAGTTTGTCAACCTGGAGAATTAATCGTTAGATCTATTTGGCTGGCCTGGAGTGCTCTTGTAGCAAACAGGCCCTCACCAGTGATCACTTCCTTTACAGGGCACGTTAACTTTTCGCTGGACTTAACAACAATCTCGGGGATTTGCACACACACAGACTCGTAGCACTGGTAGGACTGTCTGGCCCCTGTTCTATTGTAAGTCTGCGGAGAAGGAGGTCTACTCTCACCCACGATCTAAAGCCCACTGACTAAAATGAGGTTTTTGAGGCGTGAAAAGATGATCAGTACAACACTGTCTCACTGACCACCCTTATCGGCTGGCCGGGTACCTTAACTCTGCCTAAACAAACATTTGGGATGGGTTGTGTGGGAGGCCCAACGCAACCCATGACATTGGACTATACCCTTCTGCGTAATGATTTCATAATACATATACCTTATCAAGAGAATATTGGTCGTAAGACTATTAGCATGACCAAGAGGAGGACCACACACACACACACACACACACACACACACACACATTCAAGGACATTTAGTGTAAACACATATACACGATTTAGTCTAGGATATGCGAGAACACTGGGCAGAAAATGCCAGCGACTTGTCCGCTGTGAAGCCACTCCCAAGTGTAGCATTAATAGGAAGGTGCCACTCCTAAGTGTAGCATTAATAGGAAGGTGCCACTCCCAATTGTAGCATTAACAGGAAGGTGCCACTCCCAATTGTAGCATTAATAGGAAAATGCCACTCCCAAGTGTAGCATTAATAGGAAAATGCCAATCCCAAGTGTAGCATTAATAGGAAAGTGCCACTCCCATGTGTAGCGTTAATAGGAAGGTGCCACTCCCAATTGTAGCATTAACAGGAAGGTGCCACTCCCAATTGTAACATTAATAGGAAAATGCCACTTCCAAGTGTAGCATTAATAGGAAACTGCCACACCTAAGTGTAGCATTAATAGGAAAGTGCCACTCCCATGTGTAGCGTTAATAGGAAGCTGCCACTCCCAAGAGTAGCATTAATAGGAAGGTGCTACTCCCGAGTGTAGAATTAATAGAAAGGTGCCACTCCCAAGAGTACCATTAATAGGAAGCTGCAACTCCCGAGTGCAGCATTAATAGGAAAGTGCCACTCCCAATTGTATTAATATTAGGAAAGTGCCATTCCCAAGTGTAGCATTAATAAGAAGGTGCCACTGCAAAGAGTAGCATTAATAGGAAGAAACCACTCCCAAGTGTAGCTTTAATAGGAAGCTGCCACTCCAAAGTGTAGCATTAATAGGAAGGTGCCACTACCAAGTGTAGCAATAATAGGAAGGTGCCACTCCCAACTGTAGCATTAATAGGAAGGATGCCACTCCCAACTGTAGCATTAACAGGAAGGTGCCACTCCCAAGTGCAGCATTGATAGGAAGGTACCACTCCCAAGAGAAGCATTAAATAGGAAGGAGCCACTCCCAAGTGTATCATTAATAGGAAGGAGTCACTCCCAAGTGTAGCAATAAAATATGAAAGTGCCACTCCCAAGTGTAGCATTAATAGGAAGATGCCACTCCCTATTGTAGCACTTAATAAAGGAAGGTGCCACTCCCAAGTGTCATTAAGAGGAAGGAACCACTCCCAAGTGTAGCAATAAAATAGGAAGGTGCCACTCCCAAGTGTACTCCCAAGTGTAGCAAATAGGAAGGTGCCACTCCCAAGAAGCAGTAATAGGAAGCTGCCACTCCCAAGTAGCATCAATAGGAAGGTACCATTCCCAAGTGTAGCATCAATAGGAAGGTGCCACTCCCAAGTGTATCATTAATGGATGCTGCCACTCCCAAGTGTAGCATAAATAGGAAGCTGCCACTCCCAAGGTAGCATTAATAGGAAGGTGCCACTCCCAACTGTAGCATTAACAGGAAGGTGCCACTCTTAAGTGTAGCATTAATAGGATGGTGCCACTCCCAAGTGTAGCATTAATAGGAAGGTGCCACTCCAAAGTGTAGCATTAAATGGATGGTGCCACTCCCAAGTGTAGTATTTATAGGAAGGTGCCACTCCCAAGTGTAGCATTAACAGGAAGGTGCCACTCCCAATTGTAGCATTAATAGGAAGGAGCCACTCCCAATTGTAGCATTAACAGGAAGGTGCCACTCCCAATTGTAGCATTAATAGGAAAATGACACTCCCAAGTGTAGCATTAATAGGAAAATGCCAATCCCAAATGTAGCATTAATAGGAAACTGCCACTTCCAAGTGTAGCATTAATAGGAAACTGGCACTCCCAAGTGTAGCATTAATAGAAAACTGCCACAACCAAGTGTAGCATTAATAGGAAAGTGCCACTCCCAAGTGTAGCAATATTTGGAAAGTGCCATTCCCAAGTGTAGCATTAATAAGAAGGTTCCTCTGCAAAGAGTAGCATTAATAGGAAGAAGCCACTCCCAAGTGTAGCTTTAATAGGAAGCTCCCACTCCCAAGTGTATCATTAATAGGAAGGTGCCACTCCCAAGTGTAGCAATAATAGGAAGGTGCCACTCCCAACTGTGGTATTAACAGGAAGGTGCCACTCCCAAGTGTAACATTAATAGGAAGGTGCCACTCCCAACAGTAGCATTAACAGGAAGGTGCCACTCCCAAGTGCAGCATTAATAGGAAGGTACCACTCCCAAGTGTAGCATTAATAGTAAGGAGTCACTCCCAAGTGTAGCAATAAAATATGAAAGTGCCACTCCCAAGTGTAGCATTAATAGGAAGATGCCACTCGCTATTGTAGCATTAATAGGAAGCTGCCACTCCCAAGTGTAGCAATAAAATAGGAAGGTGCCACTCCCAAGTGTAGCATTAATAGGAAGGTGCCACTCCCAAGTGTAGCATTAATAGGAAGGTGCCACTCCCAAGTGTAGCATTAATAGGAAGGTACCATTCCCAAGTGTAATATTAATAGGAAGCTACCACTCCCAAGTGTATCATCAATAGGAAGCTGCCACTCCCAAGTGTAGCATAAATAGGAAGCTGCCACTCACAAGTGTAGCATTAATAGGAAGATGCCACTCCCAACTGTAGCATTAAAAGGAATGTGCCACTCCCAAGTGTAGCATTAATAGGATGGTGCCACTCCCTATTGTAGCATTAATAGGAAGGTACCACTCCCAAGTGAGCATTAGCAAGTGTATATTATAGGAAGGAGCCACTCCCAAGTGTAGCATTAAAGGGAAAGTGCACTCCCAAGTGTAGCCACTCCCTATAGTAGCATTAATAGGAAGCTGCCACTCCCAAGTGTGTACTATTAATAGATAGGTGCCACTCCCAAGTGTAGCATTAATAGGAAGGTGCCACTCCCAAGTGTAGTAATATTAGGAAAGTGCCATTTCCAAGTGTAGCATTAATAAGAAGGTGCCACTCCCTATTGTAGCATTAATAGGAAGGTACCACTCCCAAGAGAAGCATTATATAGGAAGGAGCCACTCCCAAGTGTATCATTAATAGGAAGGAGTCACTCCCAAGTGTAGCAATAAAATAGGAAAGTGCCACTCCCAAGTGTAGCATTAATAGGAAGGTGCCACTCCCTATTGTAGCATTAATAAAGCTGCCATACCCCATGTAGCATTATTAGAAGGTGCTACCCCAAGTAGCATTAATAGAAAGGTACGACTCAGAGGTATTAATAGGAAGGAACCACTACCAAGTGTAGC